AATAGATCGAGCATAGAGAAGTAAACAATTTGAGAGAAATATTTTGTTATTTTTTCATTTATACAAATTCAAAAAATACTTTCCAGAGAAAGAGATAGATAGGGAAAAGAAAAAAAAATTGCAATCGCGTGTGATTTGACGGAATTTGCAACTATACGGTCGATATGTCCGACATCTGGTGTAGTGCTTCAAAGCAATTGATAACGTTTAGAAGCACTTGAAGTGCCTTTTATCGGAATAACCTACATACATTGCTATGAAAGTTCATGCGAGAGATCCCAAAGTCTTAGAATCCCCAGGATTTCTACAGAGGCGAGATTACTGGGGTGTACAGTACACCCTGACATTTTCTTTGATCTCCCTTCCGTGCAAAGCTTGATTATTATTGACGTAACGATTCGATGTGACACCGTTCTTGTCCAAATTTAGGTGACTTGTACACGAAGAGAAATCAGCTGACTGGAATTATTCCGAAAATATCTTGCTCCAGAAAAATCACTCCGAGATAAATTACACAAGGTATTGTGTATTAATAATGACAAATTAAATAAAATAAACAAGCCAATACATCAAAATTTATGAACAAATAATTAGTAAAATATTTGGCACGATATTAAAATATAAAAAAAAAAAATCACAATTACAATAAAAAAAAAAAAAGATTTACGTTCGAAAATCGTGGTTTCGAATATTTGTAATAACCTTTCACATTGATTGAATTTCATTTGATATTTTACGAATGAAAATTCTCACGGCTCCCTCGAGAGTTACCTCACCCTTCCTGGAAGTGCCCTCTCCGGTTTGCTAACCAATGTCAACTGACCGGATCAACGACCAGCCATCGCTCGTTCTATTCTATTTGTAACCTCGACTCGAACATATGTATATCAGATGTACATTTATCCCCGGCCAGAAATGATACATTCACCTACATTACACAGGCATGTATAATTACTGGCCGACCTCGGTATTAAATTTCTAACCCATTTCTTCGCCTCTCCCTGTTTCTCTTTCTCGCACTCCGGTTTAATCCGCAAACAGTGATTAGCTAAGACTCAGACCGCAGGCAGACCTTGCGCGGCTCCGTCAGCATCTCGGCTAATTGTACGTAATAACTGACACGGAGACTTGAAGGAGAGCTTCAACGCCATTTATGGCAGTTCTAGGCGAAGGCAGTTCGGATCCTCTTTCGCCTCTCCGGATAAATAGTAACTCTTTCTCTCGAGTCGTAAATATAAATCATGCGATTGAAGGCTGATCGAGTAGCAGAGGAGACTCGGGGTCGAAGAATCGGTGAGAAAGACACTCGACTCTCAGCTAAGAATGCAGCATTAGTCATTTGCAATCAAGGGAAATTTCATACACGAAGGTTACTGACTGCGTATTGATTCTGTCGACACAGTAGTTCTATTGTAGGTGAAAATATCATTCAGGATCGTTAAATATCGTTTTTCTTCCTATTATTAATCTTTATTTTCAATCGTGAACGTAACTGATATTATTATATGGGTATATAAGTAACGTGTGTGTATATAAATAAAATATACGTGGTTACTTTCGGACGATTCAGAGATAAATCCAACTGAATCATATCTCTTCGAAATGCACGTCATTATCAATAGTCTCAATGCATACTTAGAAAGTAGCTTTACTATCTGATCGCGTATCAAGAGAAAGATAAATATGAAATTTGCTGCGTGATTTCCGCGTGATTACGATAAATCTGCTAATCACATCGCAAACATATAATCATCATCAATCATCATTAGGCAGATTAATAGGAAACGTATATCATTAAATATTATACTTTATTAGATTTTAATACTTAAAATATAACAAACAGTATTAAATATCTAGTATAGCATAATAAAGAAACTATAAATATTTTCTTGGCACTATCAGAAAAGAAATTGATGTAAAAAATCGTCTTCTTCATACAAAAATTGATAGTAAAGATAAAAATTTTTACAGCCAAAATCTGAAAATATTGAATCCAAATCGTAAATAAAAATAAGAATGAAAACTTCTGGCAGAAGTACAAATCGGATAAAAAGACTATAAAAATATGATGATCCGTCCTAGCTTCCAAACGAAAAGAGCGAAGATATCTTCGTGTTCATCTGTGGAATTACGTAAAAGCGCACATCGCCGGGAAATGACGTCAAAAAACGTTTTTTGACGATCCATCATAACGATAAGATGCGATTACTTTCTTTCAAAAGTTCTTTCAAAAGTTATTTCAAATGTTTTTTAAAAAATTTCGATAATCATATTGTTTAATAATCATGACAACAGTGTCAACTAACTGCGCTTTTATCAAAGAATTTTTCACTTGAAAAGGACCAAAAACCGATGGTCGAAACGTTGTGGAAATAAAATAAAAATTTCTTGGCTAGTTTGGGTCGAGAGAATTAAATATATCGTTCCTATTTTAAATACCACTAGCGACGTTTTAAGTATTCAATTTGATTATATATATTAATATTAAATATAAAAATCTCTATATTTTTAATGTGACAATTTTATAGAGAAAAGTCGACATTTCCAGTAAGGAATTAATTAAAAAAATATTAATGTTTCATAACTATTTCGTTTTTCCATCCTAGGAAGCAATCTTTTATATTTTATATCATAAATGTAAGTTTGCGAACGGGCTTTTCTCGTAAAAAAAAAAAGGGAAAGATCGCAAGGAGTAGATTTATCGTAACATTCTCCGATTATGTCGAAATTTTCTTTCGGAACAGAAAGCTGCTCGTATACCTTCCGCGAGTGTATATACGCCATGAGTCTCGACCTCGCGGGAAAGCGTCCTGGAATTTCTATACGGCGAGAAGCCGCGTGCCACGACGCGACGTTATCGTTCGCCATGGAGCTGCAAAGCCCTGGGGAAGGAATTATTCTGCTTCGTGAAATGCCGCGATTTAGCATCGCTTACACGTATACCGGTCGCGTGTATCGCCGCCAGTAATCGCCGCCGTTAGACACACTCGCTAGTCGACCATAATTCGACATTTTTAGCCAATACAAAGCCGATCTATCAATCGAAATTGTCAAAACTGTACCGCCCTGCCTTTCAAAAATATGTCACAAAATTACTATACAATTACTTATACGAAAGTAATAAATAGTTGAATATTCATTGATTCCTTAGGCAATTTTTATATTAAATAGAAATTTACTCCTAAATGATATATGAATAACAAATAAATATAATGTGTATATAATAAATTTCAAAATAATATATATACTTCATATCTCCGAATATATATATTTTCTTTCATATTATTTCAAGTCTAATAATCATAATTCAAACTATTCGCACAGATAAGGAACTAGAAGCTCCCTTAACTTCCTCCGCGGGAAACCTTCCTTATATTGTAGTTACGTCATAGCTCTATCGTATATATCGTCGCGCCTGAAACGGAAGTGCAGGGAAGATACGAAATATCGCCACGAACCCGAGAGATATAGAAATGATTGCATTTACATCATCGACGAAGGGGAAAAGTGTCAGACCGATGCGTCGCATTCTCCGCCAGCGGCGGAGTACAATTAATGGCTCGGCGAAGAAATGATCGCGACGCCGAGCGAGAGCCATCAGCGCGCGATTCGCGCGCACGACGAGACATTTAACGCGCCGAGCGTTACCTGTTAATTTATAATAATCGGCCAATAATAAAATGCCGGATAGGTCACACACGCCTCACACTGCCGCGACACTGTGGGAGCGGTCGGTCCTTTCTCTATCAAAGAGACGAGTATTCATGCGCGCGAAGAAAAAACGGAGTAATAAGCTGTGACGCTTTATGGAGGTCGACAGTAATTAGAGAATAAATAATTGAGTTATTATTTCTTTCAGAATTTTTTTATGTTATCGTTATATTCACGTGAGTTGAATTATGAGAGTCCGTCATTTGGAGAGAATTTTTTTTTAGAATTTACATTTACTCTGAAAGGCACGGTAATCGTGGGACGATAAGATATTGGAAGAATTTTATGAGTTTTTCTGATTATTATTTATCGGAATAAAAATAGTAATGTGTACATAAAATTAATCGAACATATTTTATATCTTATTGTGGTACACTGGAAAAATGATTAACTTATACTTACTATAAACCTTTCAACTATATATAAATATTATTTTGTTAACTGAATATATAAAAATATTTAAATTAAATATAACATGTTAAATATATAATAAAACGTATATCTGATTTAAATACTAATACATGTTCAATTAACAAAATAGTAATTTATTTTTTATTGTGGTAAATATTAATCAGAGAAACTCGTAAAATTCTTCCAATATTGTATTGTTCCACGAAGAATAAATTCTTTTTGCGTGTTATGCAAAAATTCCAAATATAATAAGCGTTATTAAAATTAATAACTAAAATGGATCAGGATAAAAATTATAAACAAATTTTCATTTTTATGAAATTTAATTTAAAGATTAGCAGTTAATTTCATATCACGTAATTATTGCAGAAACTATTCAGCTCCTAATCTTTCGCGACATCGTCGTCGCCAAGTATTAATCTCGTGGTAATGAATAAAACTATCGACAGTTCATTAGATCGAGTATCACACATTCATTCTCTTATTCTCAATCGCGCGATATTTACGTCCCAACATGTGGGTTTGGGATCGCCATATAAATACGCCCGGATGTGCACCGAAGGGTGCGAGTTATTTTCAAAGCCGCGGCACGTTTACGATCGCTGTCAGCGATGATACGCGACGAAATAATGTGTGCCATCAGAGCGGCGGATCGCTTCTATCGTGAAAAGATTTCGAGAAGCGTCGCAAACACAGTGGATCATTCTTATACCGAGATGCTCCGAATTCAGATTAAATTATACAGAAATGTTGTTTCTCTCAATGACTGAATTTGTGCACGTCACGTGTCCAGCCATCATCATAGCGAAACGTAAAGGGCGGGAGTCATCTTAAGCAATCATATATATATATATAAGATGGTATACGTTTTCACTCACCAACTCGTGGAGGGTCTTGAGATCGTTCGTGACGATCTGCGGCTGCGGTCCGTATATGAGACACGGCTCTTCCTCGTACTCGTCGTCGGTCTCCTCGTTGTCGGCGCCGTTCGCCGCCTTGTTCTCGGCGGCGATCTCTCGATCGATCTGCCTCTCCATCTGGACCAGCAACGGCGCGAGCATGCCGAACTTGGCACCGCGACGCGCTACCTCCAGGAGGCACAATATCACGTGTCGCTCGTTCTTACGCATAATCAGGTCCTCGGTCTCGAAGAGCAGGCACTCGATGATACCGAGATTGTTGCGGCACCAGTCGATGAAGTTCGAGACGTTGTCGCGGGCGAAGAAAGTGCCGGCCTTGGCATTGGGCAGGTAGGGCACGTCGCTTACCTGGCTCATCGGCAGCGCCAAGGAGGTTATCGAGCGTGTCATCGGCATTTTGCGGGCCTGACGTCGCGCCACGTAGTCGCCCGCATATTTCCGCACGTTGTTCGCATGCTGGAAGCAGAAAAAGAAACCACCTCTGGTCAGCGCATATCATCTCATCCGGTAGGCAAGGAGGTAGAAGCAGCGTATAATTTGCCGCCGCCGCCGCTAAAGGAAAGCAAATCGTAGTTTTGCCGGTTCCAGAGTAATCCGAGAGATGTGTAATTGTACAAAAAAAAAATTGTGTGCAATTTTTGTATTTAAGTGTCACGTAGAACGGATTTTCCAAACTTTATAATTTAATCACAACTATATTTTCGTTCAGTATCATAATATCATAATTTGTGGTGCCTTGTGAATTATTATTTAGAATAATAGTGATTTAAATACATAATATAGCTACGCGTACGTCAATGTTGCATGACGTTTATAACAAACGTCGATACTTTATATCCGACGCTTAGAGAGGATATATATATGTATGTATGTGTGTATTATATGCGATATTTCATTTCATACCATTCAACACTTTCCCACACGAGATCTCCTCTTACATCGCTGTGCACACATATACGTTATTCAGATGCGAGAGACTCGACGCGGCATCAAAATCCTGGATTTACCACGAGCAGAAATGGCAGATGGCATCTGATGACCGTCCTCCCTTCAGAAAAAGTTTTAATGCAATATCACTCTATTGATTTACATGAGTACGTCGCTCAAGAGAGATTCGAGATTCGAGATGCGAGACACCCTTGTATGTCAAAGATCAACGGGGAATATTTTAGCAGTTCAAAAGCGATGATGGACAATGGAGGGATTCAGTCCAGTTAAAAATGTAGTTCACAATGCGAATTAAATACGAGTCGCGTAATTTTTTTAAATTTCTACAAAAATTTGATAAATCGTAATTTGAAATAATATTATAAATTTTATTACGATTTTTCCATGGTTCATCCTTCTTCAATTAATTTTTGAAAGATATTTAAGATCTTATTAAAATAAGTTATTAGAATAAAAAATGATGTAGACCCCCTTCGTTTGCGGTTTCAATTTCCTTCGTCCAATTTGACTACGATCATCATTCATCAAGACACATATATCACTGACGGTGGTACTATTTCATCCCTTTCAATCCCTTTCTGTTTGTTCAACGCTCGTTTTTCGCCGAACATCTGCTCAAACGACTGCGCTAGCCTAACTGGATGCTCGTTTTAATGACAGTTCGTTGAACTTATATGCTGCTCAAACAGAGTTGACGCGAGATGACTCGTCAGGAGGATATTTGGGTTAACGTTGGAAAAAGAAGCTACTACGACCCGGAACAGTCGGCCCGTTAGAAAGTCGCCGATGTTTTAAACAAAATCGTATTTTTTTTCGTCTGAGCAAACAACGCGTCGTACGTGTAAACGTTTGCTCGCGCGTGCAACGCATCGAATTTCGATGTCACGTATAAGTCGGAGATCTTGTTACCGATAACTCTTATTCTTTCACCACAGCGTCATTGTTGAAAAATTTATTTTAAAAAATAGGAATTAAAACAGCTTGACGAATCATCTTTAATAGACTTCATTTTAGCTAATATTTACACAAAGAGAATTTTCTCTTCGTATTTACCCTGAAAATCATGATAATCATGAGACAATATGGTATTGGGAGAATCTTATTAAAATGTATCTGATTAATCAAGAGACACGGTAGTGTCTCGCGACCAGTTAAGGGCGTAGCCGAGACACCGTGTATCTTAACGCGAGTCGGACATTTGAGTCTTTATAATATTTCGAATTCTCAATAACGGCTGAAGCAATCGAGTTTATACTAGACTTAATCGATAGATTGAGTTTGAATTATATAATAAAAGTGTCTTTATTTCTGCTCTACGTGATTTGTAAGCAGAGATATAAATTGCAAAGTCGAAATATGAAAAATTTCTTTTAAGAAACGTCCCCGTCATCATTGTCATCATCGACCACGCAAACATAGTAGTATCGTGCTACACGTATTCACACGTATACAACACATGCGCACACATATATCACACGTACACAACACATAAATAGATGCATGTATTGGAAATGTCCATCTCGCACGTTTTACAACAGACGGCGATAGTTGCCCTCCGCTATATTGACAGCGTGCGGGGTTAGATATTTTCAATCAATCAACGTGCGGGGTTAGATATTTTCAATTTCAATTTTTACATTCAATTTTAATGTTATTATTTGCAAATTTATGGTCATAATATTTCAATAATATTTCAATTATATAAATGCCTATGTATGAGTATGCATATATTTTTAATAATAGTTGCCCTCCGCTATATTGACAGCGTGCGGGGTTAGATATTTTCAATTTCAATTTTTACATTCAATTTTAATGTTATTATTTGCAAATTTATTGTCATAATAATTTATGTGCAAGTTTACAGTCTGTGATACAAAATCAGATATTTTGCTATTATTTCAATAATATTTCAATTATATAAATGCCTATGTATGAGTATGCATATATTTTTAATAATTTTCTTAATTAGCTTCTATATTTTTTTCAGTTGTACATCAAGCAGGTAGCATTATCAGCTCACTTGTGAGCATGGGTTGGGCAATGGCTAGTTATCATCGCAGCATTCGATTAGCTTAACAAGATAAATCTAATATCAGTGCTATAGGAACTATTTTACAATTTTTCTGGCATTTTCTTATTGCAGGTACATATATATCCAATAATTAATATACAAAATTAAATATTATTCATCACACACTTTGTATCAAAATAATATATTTTTTAAAATTTATTTTAAATTTATTTAATCATTTTTATCATTGTGATTGTAGTGGCAAGGATCTTATTGCTCAGTGTCATTGCAAGCATCTGGCCTGTATATACCATAATATATTGTGTAATACATTGGCTAAGTATGACAATATAGATTTTGATAGATTCCCATGGAATATTGGAATTTTGTCGGACTTACAGTCATCCACCACATATGCAGCCTACAATTAAAGAACGCATTTATTCCATATGATTTGCTTCCGTTATTGGAATATTTAAAATAAAAATTTTATTAATAAATTTCGATGAAATAATTTATAAGAGGTTGAAGAAACTATGAAACAAATTCAGTCTCATAAAAGGGTAGTTGGAACAATAGTGGTGAATGCAGAAGGTATTACATGAGATCATTGACATGATTTACTTGTAGTTGTAAACAAAAATTTATAAAATTATATTTGTTTTAGGTATTCCTATAAAGTCAACATTAGATAATACGACAACAGTTCAATACGCAGGTTTGATAAGTCAATTGTCAGATAAAGCTCGTTCTGTCGTACGTGACTTGAATCCAACAAATGATTTAACTTTCTTGCGCATACGTAGCAAAAAACATAAAATTATGATGGCACCAGATAAAGAATTCATATTAATAGTAGTACAAAATCCAGTTGATTGATATTTAAAAGAAACAAAAATATATTTCAAAGTTAAGATTTATTTTTTTGGTTGTTAATTTAATCTGTATGCTACATTGGATGTTAATATCTATTCAATTAAATAAAGAAAAATAAAAGAATAAAGCTTAAAAATTATACAAAATGCAGTATTTAATTACTAATTTAACAAATTATGAACTTTTAGAGTTTTTAAATAGTGCTTTCTTCTTTGGTAACAATATTATATTTTTAAGTTTGATAATTATGAAAATATGTATATATAGTAATTCATGGCATGTTTATTTTTGTATTTAATACAATTATAAATGTACATTTCTCATCAATAAAATATCACAGTATCTTTTTTATAATTTAATTTTAATATTGAGATTGTTTTTATTCAGTGGAAAAAAAAATGTGTAGTTGGTCCCTATTAATTATACATACATATAAGAGTGTCGCACAAATAATTCTATGCAGTCTTTTTAAGATAATATAAAAATACTTATAAATATAATCAATTAAAATACATATAATCAAAATTGTATGTATTAAAATTCAATAGCATATAAAAAAGATTTTTTAAAATTATATATATATAATAAAAATCCAACATTTTTATATATATATATATATATATATAAATATATATTTATTTATTGTATATCATAAATATATATTTATTTATTTATATTTACCTATCTTTTTTTTATATATATGGTAGAAATACAATGTATGAGTTATTTTATTTTGCAAAATTTTTGAAAGTTAAACTATTAATTACAATGAAATTATTTCATATAATACCGAGATTCTTTTCATAATAAAGATTAAGAGAGAGTTAGATTTTATCATAAGATTTATAAAAGTCATAAGATAAGGTTAATTGCATATTGTATAGTTTATCTCTCATTTTTTAAAGTAAATAAATATCAAAGTTACATTGCTTGAACTGGTGCGTTTGAAGTATGTTGTCTTTTTGAGGGATGCAAGACAATATAGTACAAAAGCATTGCTGTAATTCCCAAGAAAAAGGAAATGATACAAATAATAAAGATTATATTAAAGTACTAAGCCTCTTTAACTGCAGGAGGACAAGCATATTGCCATAATAAATTTGCTGCAATATTTTCAAAAAAGCAGATAACATAGAAAGATAGATGTTTTCAAAATGTTTTGCTATCTACAGCATTGAGATATATAAAAATGTGCACTATGCCAATAACGGAAGCAAATAATATGGAATAAATGCGTTCTTTAATTGTAGGCTGCATATGTGGTGGATGACTGCAAGTCCGACAAAATTCCAATATTCCATGGGAATCTATCAAAATCCATATTGTCATACTTAGCCAATGTATTACACAATATATTATGGTATATACAGGCCAGATGCTTGCAATGACACTGAGCAATAAAATCCTTGCCACTACAATCACAATGATAAAAATGATTAAATAAATTTAAAATAAATTTTTAAAAATATATTATTTTGATACAAATTGTGTGATGAATAATATTTAATTTTGTATATTAATTATTGGATATATATGTACCTAAAATAAGAAAATGCCAGAAAAATTGAATTTGCTTATTTATTTAAAGATGCTTATCATATACAAAAATGAATGATATAAT